AAGTTTTATTTTAATGAGAAATTATGAACTGAAATGAGTATGATTTAATCAACCAGATAGCTCATTATTTTTGTAATAAAAAGATTAAATATAAGAACTGTAATACAAACTGTTCCAGTTCCTTCTACTTAGAAGTATGTTTACCTTTACCACCTAAGATTTCATTTTAAATACCAACTGGAGTGAATTACAGCTGATATTTCTATGTCCAAAATTGCGATTCTCAGCTTAAGTTTGAACTGATTTTTTCACACATAAATCTAAATAAAAATCATGTCATTGTTACATATTTTAAAGAAAAATATAAGGTTTATCTGTACTGTTAACAATTTGTATATATTTTATTTGATAAAAATAAATTAGTTAAGTACTTTCACAGTCTGATAAAATTGGAAGTAACAGTTGTTTGACATAATGCATCAGAAATTTATCTGTAACCTTTATATAGTACTATTCAAGTTATTCAAAACACCGTTCTTAAGTCAAATGAATGATTATACACGATTGGTGATTTGGTTCCATGACTGTTTTTGTAAGTGGACTTTAAAATAAAAATAAAACATGTAGAAAATCAATTAAAAATATACTTTTTTTCAAGTCTTGCTTTTGATGTCATTTCTAATGGTGAAAAACTGGTAATTGAAAATCATATATCTGAAAATACTACTTTAAGCATGATATTTTGTGTTATTACAAAATCGTTGCATATTTATTTTTTACTTATTTATCAGTATCAGAACTTGATTTAAATGTTTTCTCACTTGTACAGCTTATTACTGAAATTTATTAATATGGGTTATATAGAACTTAACCTATTTACAAACATCTCAAGAGTTGTTTGACTACACACGTGATTGGAATACATATTGCATGAATTTGATGACATGCAGATAACGGCAACCATTGATCAAAATATAGGATGCAGAATGACTTGAAAATGTTCCTAATATTTTGTTACTGAAAATGTGTACCTGTGAGGATTTTTCCTCTAGTAAGCAACAAATTTGAATAAATAATTTACTAGTTACAACCTGTTAAAACCAAACCCTTATGAATATAATTTTTCACTTAAATGACTAAGAGATAACACCTTTAGCTGTAACTGTTTTGATTCTTAATAAATCACCTTAATATTTTTTTAATTATTTAAGGTTTTATTAGCTAAAAATACAATTTTTTTACACATTTTTGTCCAATGTATCAGAAGTGCTGAAACACCAAACTAATTTGAAGTTTATAGTATTAAGCTTGTATATTAACTAACTTTATTTACTATGTTACATGGAGAATTAAAAATGATGGAATAAGGAAGAAATAAATGTTTCTTATATACTCAATAAATTTCAATGTCATTTACTGTTTCAAACATTTAGTGAAGAATCAGTCCATAACACTTCTAGGAAACCTTTTGTTAAATTAATTCAAACTTAAAATCTGGTACTTGAGTAATATGTAAGTAATATTTTTCTTGCAGTTTCAAGAACTCACATGAGGCTTGATTGATATATCATAGTAACGTTTCATATAAAAAATAAAAGTATAAGATAAGGTTTGGCAATGATAAAAAAATAATAAAACTCAGCTTTTATCTCCATGCTTCATATTTATTGAACAATCTTTTAATTTGTTGGAAGATGTGGCCTCAAAATTTCAGCCATATAATCCTGGAAGTTGTTTTTTACCATAGTAAATTGTATAATTGCCACTTCACTATTAGTTTGTTTAATTCAGTTAAAGCATCTTAGTTATTATGTCCTAATTCTTTTTTTTTCTATATAATAACTGGATGTGTTTGAGATGTTGTTTTAAGCAAACGTTTGTACATAAGATGTTGTTATTATATGTAATTAATATCTCTGTGAAGCTGGAATATTCAGGTTTTTATCTTGAACACTAGCTTTATCATTGTAAATATACATGTACATTAACAGTTCATAATTCTTCTCTACCATAGGAAGAAGTCAGCCAAGTTAGAATGTCAGCATTACAGGAAACCCTTAAAACTACCAAGCTCAGGGCAGATAAATTACTTAATGAAAAGGAAGAGGTACTGTAACTTTACCTTAGAATATCAATAAAATAATAATCATCAAAATTTATCTTTGCATTAATAGAAGTTAATATGATTACAGTTCATTCAGTTTAAATTGTTTACCTCTTGCTCTTGTCTGATGAATTCTTACACACAGATAAAAATCAAGTCAGGCTTAAAATTGAAACATCATAAAACTACATTGAATCTATTAGTCCTTGTTTAATGTTTATAAGACTGAAACTCTAAGTGGCTTTGAATCTATCATGGTAACATCCTCCTCAAGTAAAAGAGATTATAAACTAGAAACCCATAATAAATTCATTCAAAACTGTTCTGTTTTGTGTTCTCAGACAAAATGATTATTCCTTTTTACTTCAGCTAATCTGGACAATATTCAGTCATGAAATGTTCTCTAGATCTTGTTTTGTCACAATATAGGCTATATATATATATCTATGAACCATAAAGTCTAGCATTGTATGCAGTAACCAGGGTTACATTACTGTATTCACATGCATGAAATTTGATACGTTTCTAAATATTTGTAAGATACAGTGAAAAAACCTAATTCTTAGAATGATTTTTTTGTATTTCTGTTTTGCTTACGTATGTCTGCATCCTGTTCTGTAAGCTATACATTCTATTATGTAAAATATGATGTTATACCACATTTTCGTACTTTAGATTTGTTATTTTCAAGGTATCTAAGCTCTGTTGAATTGATGCAAAAACAAATGTTATAATGTTAAAGCTACTCTATTTTTCTGTTCTTATTAAAGTACCAGCATACATGATTCTTGTGTGTCTAAACAAAACATTAGTTTACTGGTAAAAAAGAAATTAAATTAAAGCCACAATTTTGTTAGCTGTTGCTACACTGACAGTTTAAACATATTTACATAAATCTCCACAAATGCTACCTCTAACAAAATTACATTAAAATCAGGCAGATGTTTGACTTCTGAGTTCTTGCACATTTTATATACAAGTTAATAATTTTTTCTTATTTTGTTTTCCAAATATAAAAGTAATGTAGTCACAATGTCTGATACAATAACTTAATGTTCTAATGTTAGTTTTAACATAGTTTGTACCTCAATTGTAAATGACTGGGTCTAGTCATTAAATCTTAATCTATTTTTGCCCTGACAAGGTTTTTGATTATAAATATGTATACGTAAACTTTCAGTGAAGACAGTTCAACATAAGCAAAAATACTAGATCATTCTAAGAGGTCTTTCAAGGTTCGTATGGTCATGGAAACCCTGGAAAAGTCATTTAATTTGAAAATGACTATTTCTGGGCCTTGAAATGTCTTAGGAAAAAATAAAAGCTAATAATTTTGGAAAAAGTCGAGAAAAAATTGCAAGTTTAATACACATTGAACAGCACTATATATTTTTCTTTGTCCACTGTTTTATTTGCACTCTGTCTCTGATTCCTATGCTTCTTCCATGATTTTTACTGTTTTAATAAACATGGTTATGAAGGCACGTACGTCATCACTTACACTTTGTGAAGAGCAACAGACAAGCAGCAATGCACTTAATTGTCAACTTAATTTAATTAAGTTTAAAATGCCAGGGAAGTTTACATTTAACAGTCTATGGCTGTTGAGTTATAAATACTCTCAGTGGCTAGAAAATGACCTGGATAAGGTGTAAACTGTGTGACAATTTTTTTGATATTTCTAATATGGGAGAAGTGGTCGTGACAAATCACACTAAATGGAAAAAAACAGCAAACTGATACACAGATGCAGCTGGAACAAATATTTAGGATCTTTTTTTTGCATTATCTTCAAAAACTCAATCCAATTTGATGACACTGACAGTTGGAGATGGAAAGCAAAAGACTTTATCTTCCTTCATCCCAAATAATGACGTTATGACTGCAAAGGTAAGCTGGGCTCCCAAGGTCATTGATTCTCACTATTTTTATAGATCCTGTGAAAAGATTAGCAACCTTTTTTGAGCTGATATTACCAGAAAGTTTTCATGTGGTGAGAGAAGGTGTGCTTACTTGCATACTTTTGGCCTCATGCTACATTTTATTTCTCACATTACACACTAAAGTGGAAAACAGGAAGGCTATGTGCTGCTTCTTGATGAAAGTTTGAATAAACAGTTAGATTTGTATGTTCACATCTGGGACAGTGATGAAGTAAGAGCAACATATGTTGGTTCTGAATTTTTAGACCATGTTTCAGCAAATGATCTAGTTGGAAAAATGCAGGACGTATTTGGTGCCTTATTTGGATTTAAGAACCTGTTATGATTGTCTATGGATGACCCCACTGTGAACTGGAAAGGCTTTGACACTATACAGGCACAAGTGCAGAATGACTTAAATAAATCACTGCTGAATATGAGCACACTTGGATTGCACATAGTTCACATTGCATTCCACAATGGTTGTCAAGCAGGTGGTTGAGATATAAATGAGACACTCTCCAGTTTATATTGGCTGTTCAAAGATACTCCTGACAGAATAGAAGATTTTACTGAAGTAACAAGCTGTGAATAATTAATGCTCAAATTTTGCAAACACTGACAGGTGAAAAATGTCACTATAACTGAGAGAGCTCTGTAGCTTCTTGTCTGCCAGTATGTTGAGAGCATGAAAAAGGGAATAGTGCCAATTCCCATGACAAAATAATTTGAAACAGTTCAAAAAAGCTGTGCCAACCCTCTTTTTGCAGCTAAGGTATTGCTAAATAGGTCCCTCCTTTCCCAGACTGTACCAGACAGACAATTCCATGCTTCTGGTTTTGTGTGAGGACATGCACAGACTCACTAAAGGTAAGAGTATCTGCTTAGAAGAATGCATTTTTTGTTCTGTGTACTCAAACATGTATCATAATTTATATATAGTTATGTTATCCAGATAAATATCTAAATGTAAAATTCTGTAATCAAAACAGATGTTACTAGAACAGTAGTCTTTTTGATTTTGCTGTTTCCAATAGCTTCACAAAACAAAATCTTATTGTAAAATATAAATATGTTTCATTTGTCCCTGATTTTCAACTATTGGCAGCATAGTTTTAAAGAAAATGTATATCAAAACATATTGTATTTATAGTTAAATACCAAGTCAATGATTCTTGATAGTTTACTTGCAATATCATCACACTAGTTTAAAATGTATAGTCAAATGTTACTTTATCAATAATTTCATAAATACAAATCAATGGTAGCTGTATAAATGTTTTAAATGTTGTATGGTTTAAAAAAAACTTTAGAGAAAAAATTTACAATTTAACCCTATGCTTACTGGTGGGTCAGGGGTGCATGTCATCATCATGAACTGTTATAGAGCTACACTCAAAATTTAATTAAGTTACTTTATTATCATACACACAAATAAACTTGGCATCAAAACTTAGTTTATAATTTAAATGTTAATGTTATATGAGTTTTAGTTTCTTAAGTTCAACAGGAAATATTTCAATAAACTGTAAAACTGTGCTTGATTGTTCACGTGATATCTGTTTGCTCCAAAATGCACCATTTTTGTTTTTGAATCACCCCTTTGTGATCAATGTCCTGTGTTTAATGTACATTACATATATACCTTGTGGTATAGATACTACTAAAGCAAAATCTAATTTTATGGTGCCTAACTTATTTTCTTAGGGGTAATATGGATCATAAATTGAAGCCTATTTGCCATGCCCTCCCATTACTTCCTCTCTTTCACACTTTGCTATTAAAGCTGTTTAATATTTGTCATTCCATCATTTGTAACCAATAGTAAGAGAAAGTTTTAATTTACGTAATGATGTATATTTCTTAATCATTCTCATGAGTTATATATACCACAGATTCAAAGTTGATCTCGCTGGATTTTGATCAACCAACTAAGGGAGTTATTTTAAGGCACGTATATCTTAATTATAAGGCTAGTTAAATAATAATACTTATAGGAGATTGTATGCTTTTTGCTTGTTAGTTTATGTTCTTAAGTACACATTTGAAATAAATAAAAATTATTTTATGTACTACTACTACTACTACTATCATTACAAGTTAAAAATAATAATAGTCATAAAATTTATTCATGAGGTAAGTGCAATAGTAGTCCATAAGTTATGTAATTCAATACTGTAACTTGAGCTATGCCTCCACCTTGTGTGTGGTACATCTTGTTCTGCATGATTAGATATTATATATCTTTCAAAATAATTGTGATTTTTAGTTACAATCTGCAGTCATTCTAGAAAGAAAAAAATCTTAATATGAAAATCACGTTGACTTGGACTAGTCAGTCTTAGACTGACTAAAGTAAGTTCAGAGACAAACATTGATAAAATACTTTATTAAATAATCAAACTTTTGATGTATGAAATACTTTTTATGTTTACTAAAAGCTTGCCAAATTTTGTAAAGATATACAGATCATTCAGTTATAATATATAAACTGAGGCACCCATCTTACATCCAGGGGCATAAGGAATGAATGTAGGGCTTGAACTATTAAATTAAATCAAGAATTTGTATTTATGTTCAAAATTTATTTCACATATTATTTACTTTACAGTTACTTTATTTCACACATGCACTTCATTCCACATTACAGAAATGGTGTTACAGTTACTATCTTTTACTTTATTCCACATTACAGAAATGGTGTTA